GGTCACCTGTCCTAGACGGACCCAACCCCTGTCTTGAGTCCCCTAAGTCAAATGCACATGATGCAAACAAGCGTCCTACTAGGAATCCGGCATGAGGCTTTGTTCTTCTAGGTTTAACCCTAGGTTTATTGGTCTAGACCTGGCTTACCCGAGCGGATAACTCGAGCCGAGGGGGAGGCAGCGTACTGGGGATACAGAAGCTCCGCCGGCTTTGCAACTTATCCAAACCTCGTTCTAAATGGGAAAAGACTCTAAACAGAAGAGAAGCTACACAAAGTGCACCCTTCTCCATGATGTAGAAGACTTAGAAAGAGGAAGGGATTCGCGACAGTTTATATATACAATTTCAACAAATATCAAAGCAGTAAAATATTTAGCACATATAGCACGGAACATGTAGAAAAATCAGATAAAGCCAAATATAACAATTATACTAAGCTCGAATTCTTGAACCCTGAATCGAAATTCTGGGTTCGTTTCCCCAGCAGAGTCGCCAGAGCTGTCACACCTCCTTTTTTACACACCTACCCCGAAGGATAATGTATAAGGGAGTTTTTCCACTTTAAGTGACATTATTCGAAATGGGATTATTTATTTATTCAGAGTCGCCACTTGGGATAGGATTGGCTTTTGGTGTCCCAAGTCACCGGTTTAACTCTAATCCCAAATCGAGGAAAATTTCGACTTCCCAATTGGAGTCTGCGAACCAGAAATTCTGAATAAGGAATTCTGTTGACCCGAGGGAAGGTGTTAGGCACCCCCGGATCCCGTGGTTCTAGCACGGTCGCTTAAATTATTATAAATGGCTAAAATCCAATTTTTGTATATGCTCCAACCTATAGTGCAATTTTAAGATTATTTACCGCTTTTAGTTAAATTTTAAGAAAGTGAACGTCGTTTAAAAACGTGTTTTCGGATCACGTCACATGAAATGCACCCGGATCCTCGACACATTCTTATTCAACATTTTGGGATTTGGATTTGGGTTGCATGAAATGCACACCGTATTTAGGAAGGTAAAATTATTAAAAGCGTGCCTAAAGCGACTAACGTGTTATTACTTTGCGGGGGGCCATGAAATTTGCTAAACGGCACGCCCCGGATTCTAAGTATTTTAATTAAGCATTTAAAGAGGGCCCCGCAATTTATGTGTTTTGTTTGGCGAGGCTCATCTCATTTTTATTTAAAGGCCGAACTAATGCAACTACGATTTTCTATTTCTTTTGTCTCTAAAAGGGCCTAGTTAATTTGCATTTATCAAATTCGGCCTCAAGCTCAAGTCCGGATTCAAACAAAAGGGGGAACCTCTTAATTTGAACCCGCTACCTAACTCGAAAGCCCCAAATTTATATTGCTAACTAATCCCCATATTCCTAATATGATTTTAAAGGAATTTGGCTTCTAGCATTTTTGGGCCTTGAAAGTTGGGCCCAAGAAGTAGGTAAATGTTGCTGTGTTTTATTTAGAGCTTCCCCAGCTTTGGGCTTCTGATATTGCCCTTGGGCCCAGACCCAAAATTATACTGCCTAGGCCTTGAAATGATTGAATTAAAAGGACAATGGGCCTGGCTATTTTCGCTGGCCTGCGTTGAGCCCAGTCTTTACAGTCCAGCTGACATGAGCCGAAGCTCAATTAATATTATCAATGAAACGAAGAGAGAAGACCTGATGATCTATTTTACTCAGAATATGATATCGGTTAATGGTGATTTACCTATAAATTCATTCACATTTGTTAACACTTAAACAAGGATTAAACATGAGTAGAGTAACAAAAGGACCTAAAATGAACTGATGATGACTAACAATTTAAACTAACAAACAGGTCACATATCAATCATAATCCAATCTTAAAAAACAATTGTGACATTTCAACATGACTAACCTTTCCACAATTTAACACCTAGCAATACTTACGAACTAATTCCGAAGAGATTGAAGCATTTTAAGACAATTACACATTAACTGCAGCAGTTCTAATAGGCCAGCGTGCCTCAATACTAATGGCTGCTTTCGACTCTCAACTTTAAAGTAAAATCTGACGACATGGACAACAGCCCCAAACTAACTCAACCTAACATTACTAAACACAAAACTCAGATAATTCGCGAATGAAATTGAATTAGTTTAACGGTCCTTTATAGGTTAACAGTCCTATGATCAACAGTCCAAAAGCTTTCCAGTTTAATTACCAAACAAGTCCAAACAGTCCTAATTAATACAAATAGTCCTATTTAACATTAATACACATCTATTCAGATGAAACTACAGCTACATATTAAACTAATAATGAACACAAAAACAGATTCGTATTGTAGAAACGCTGCATCACATTGATTTCACGGTTGTCATGTACAATGAGTGAGACTTCATATCATTAGGGACAACAAGTGTACCTGGAATTGAGCAAAGTAAAGGAAGGAGTTAGCAGCAGCAATAGACCAACAACAGTCAATTTCTAACTCAAAACAGGCCACAGCAAACCAAAACGACCCCCAGAGGGAAAAACACCAATGAGAATAGCCAAAATCAGCTTGATACAACCCAAATACACTCAACGAACACCCAGGAATGTCCAGAACAATTCAGCAACTAGATATTGAGTTAGACGATGTGAATCAACTACTAAAAATCCAAATTAACCTAAGGTTTCTAAAGGAACAGTATTTTTGGGATTTTTGAAAGTTTTCTGTTTTTTTTTTTGTTTTTATGCAGAATTTAAGATCTAAAAGAAGGTTTTAGAACTATAGAACTTCAAATTTGAACCTCTTGGGATTTTGAAATCCAAATTCGAGATTCAGACTTGTAGATATGGATTTTTGGGGGGAAATTAGAAGCCGGAAGTTTGGGGAATTTTCAGAGATGTAAAAACTTTTGGAAATTTTTTCAGATTGTTCCCAAAACTTCAATTGCAAGGCAAAGGGGTTGTTCTTTTATAGGCCAAGTTAAGGGAAGTTTCAGAAATTTCACTTTGCACCCTTACCCCCTCTTTTATTTTCAGTTTTAGCTTAGTTAGTCCCTGAAAGACTGACTTCTTACCCAAGTTATACCACTAAATTTCTAGAACTACAATTGAGGCCCTACTGTAGAAGCTTCTAGAGTATTCTAGTTTAGCCTACAACATTCTAACCCATTTTAAGTGCCCAAAATACCCCTGAATACCCCTGAAATTACTAAAGTTTATCAAACCATGGTCTGGCCAAGTGACCTAGTTCTGATGGGCCTACTGATCTCAAAACAGAACCCAAATCCTATTTACTAATCTGAATTCCTAACTAAGGGCAAAAGAACTTGAATCAAACTGAAGAAAATAGCTAAACTAAACTAATACTAATTAAGGTGGATCATAGAACTAATTTTATTACTAAACTAAACTAAAAAGAACAGCAAATAAGCAAACCAAAACAAACAATCATACTGAACGGGAGCAATTAAATCAGAAGAAATCACATAAACAGCAGGTGGCAAAACGGAAATAAACCATGTGATTGTAACAAAATCAGAAACCTATAACTGGTGATTCCAATTGTGGGCGTAGAACACAAAACAAACAATAAAAGAATGACTAAATAAAGGAAAGCTTACTAGTTTGGGCTTGAAGTATGAAGAACAACTCTGTTTTGACCTTGAAAGGATATAAATCGTCGGTTCTTTGTGATGAACAGACGAAAAACATCATCCCAAATGAAACAGGCCAAGGAGCTTGGAATGTGTGAGCCGTCTGATTTTCAACCTAGGACCTGGGGCTTAGATTTGAAAATCGAAGGTTTTTGAGGGGATTCGTAGGAAGCTAGGCAATTATTTGGGATGAAGGGAAGGAGGTGGTCGTCGGGTGTTGATTTGGTAGGGGAAAGAGTGGTAACGCCGCCTACGGCGGCGACGGCGGCTAGGGTTTCACTGATTCGAGGGTTTTGGGTTGGATTTGAAAGAAACCGGTCATGAGTCCATGATGAGGAGAAGAAGGAGATGCTACGGTGTAATTTTGGGGGCTGTTGGAGCTTTGCCGCTGGCGGAGACGATTTCCGGCCGGCGGCGGACGGCGGAGGGGCGGTGGGGTTGAACAGAGGTACGAGAAGGATAAGTTTTGTCTCTAGGGTTTCTGAAGGATTTTGGACAATTTTATTTAATAGCTAAGATTGAACCAGGGCCGTTGGATTAGAGTGGATGGAGGGCTTGGATTAATTTGGCATGAAACGACTCAAAACGACGTAGTATGCTTCCTATACTACATCGTTTTGTTGGTCTCAAGGGCTTGGGCGTTTGGACCGGGTATGGGTGTGGACTGGGTCAATTTGGCCAGATCTTGTGAGATGTTTTGGGCTAATGTTGACATTGGCCCAAATTATATAATACCCTCTTTTAAACCTTTTAATTCCTTTCTCTTCAATTTTTTTTCTTTTCTTTTTAAGTTTTTGTTTAATACAAAAATCAAAAATAAAGACCTGATTTAATTCTACAACTAAACTAATTAGCTAAATCCTAATATAAAAAAGAGAACTATGTAAAGATGGACAAGGACTATTTTTGTGATTTTCTCCTATTTTGCAATGTCAATTAACTAAAAATATAAAATTTAGTCCTAAATGCAAAGGTACTATATTTTTTGTAATTTTTATGAATTATATAGACTAAGAATGTACACAAAATGCAAACAAACACAAAATCACGCAATTAATTCCTAAAATTTAAATAATAAAAGAAAAATTCTAATTCTAAGGAATTTATAGGAGTAATTTAAGCGTGGCAAAAATCACGTGCTCACAATAATAATACCCCCAGGGGCAAGGTTGGTTCCGATGGGGCAGTGGGAGCAGATCCGGCCCCAATAATGAAAACGGTCCCTTCAAGAATGAACTCTTACGCTTTATGAGAGAAGTGAACGCCCGCATTGACCAAATCCCGGGCACACCACCGGTGCTGAAAGGTCCGGACTCAAAGAAGTATACTTAGTTGTTGTACAAACCAAGCACGACACTAGAGTTAATCCCGAAGCGGTTTAAAATGCCCGATGTGCCAAAGTATGATGGAACTTCAGACACTCAGGAGCATATTACCACCTATACAACGATGGTGAAGGGGAATGATTTAGCTCCTCACGAGATTGAATCTGTTTTGAAGAAATTTGGAGAGTCTCTCACGAGGGGAGCCTTGGTATTTGCTGTTACCCGAGCATTCCATAGATTCCTTTGTGATGCTCGCAGATTCTTTAATTAGGGCTCATGTTGGGGATAGAAAAGTGCAGGCCTGAAAGGCCGACATATTCAGAATTGTACAAGGAGAATCCGAGTTGCTGCAGGAGTTCGTTACCTGGTTCCAAAAGGAGATGATGTTGTTTTCGGCTGTTCCGGATGAATGGGCGGCTGAAGCATTCATTAAGGGTCTGAATTTGAGAAGTTCAGACGCTTCCCAGAAACTGAAGGAAAGCTTGCTTAAGTTTCAAGCAACGACTTGGGCGGATTTCCACAGCCGGTTCGAGTCAAAGATAAGGATCGAAGATGAGCAGGTTGGCTTCCTGTTGTCGGCAAAAGGACGGGAGAAGAATAAAGAAAAATCAAAAGACGATTTCGACATGGATAGACGGTCTTCAAGGGGCCGATTTTTTGCCCTACAAACGGACCGAAGGCCGCGACAAAGGCTTTCGATCAGCAGACAGGTTATGTCACTAACAGAAGGACTGATCGTCATCAGAACAATAGATCATTGCAGGACGAAGAAGCGTCAGGCACGCGGGATCCTTACTACCCCAAGCTATCAGAATACAATTTCAACGTCAGTGTAGTAGAGTTGGTATCAGCTATGAGAAACATCAAAGAAGCACAGTTCCTGGAGCTGATGAGATCCGATCCGAGCTAGAGGGATCCCAACTGTGGTGTGAATACCACGGGACGAATGGCCACCGGACCGGGGACTGCAGACATCTCCAGGAAGAAGTGGCGACACTACTGAAGAATGGGCATCTTAGAGAATTCTTAAGTGACCGGGCCAAGAACAAATACGATCGCAACCGGTATAATGTGGAACCCTCGAATGCAGGAGAAAATCCTTCGCGCCAAATGATCAACTTGATCCTCGGGGGGAACGAGATCAATGAGGTCACCTTCTCGACAACAAAAAAGACAAAAGTATCGTTAACCCATAGCAAGAGTCTCCGGGAAGTTGTTGAATATGACATCAATTTCAGGGAGGAGGACGCAGATGGATTGTTGCTACCGCACAACGACGCATTGGTAATTTCTTTAAATGTGCTAGACTTTAAAATCAAATGTGTTCAAGTGGATTTAGGAAGTTCGGCCATTATCATACAATGGAGAGTATTGGAGCAAGCTAAACTCACCGGAAGCAATTCCGGCCACAAAACTCCTCGCTGGATTCAACCTTGCGAGCGTGACAACTTGAGGAGAGATTTTGTTGCCCATGAATGTTGAAGGGGTGATGAAAACAACTCTTTTTGAAGTGAAGGATGGTGATATGGGATATAATATTATTCTGGGAAGACCATGATTGCACTAAATGAGAGTTGTACCATTAACGTATCATCGGTTGTTGAAATTTCCAACGCCTGAAGGAATTAAACTGATAAGGGGAGGCCAACTGGCGGCGAGGGAGATGAATGCGATTTCTCTCTCTAGTACCAAAGGGAAGGAGCACGCGACATAGAAATTACAGGAACCGGCACCCACTCCCGAATCGAATGAAGTTAGCCCAAGGGCAATAGCGTCGGAATCTTATCAGGTGCCGGGGTATTTACAGGTACCAGAAGAGACGGATGCAACAAAATCCACGACGGAAGAGCTTGTGCAAGTTGCATTGTTTGAAGAGTTCTTAGAAAGGAAATTTCACTTGGGGACAGGACTGCACCCCGAGCTCATGTCTTGCTTTATTGAATTTCTTAAGTTTAATGTCGATTGTTTTGCTTAGTCGCATGCGTACATGACAGGTATCCCAACGGAGGTGGCCGTACACAAGCTAAGTTTGGATCCCAACATCCCTCCGGTGAGACAAAAGAAACACCCTATTGCGAAGGCCAAGAATAAATTCGTCAAAGAAGAGGTAACTCGTTTACTTGATATCTGTTTGATCCGAGAGGTCATGTATCCAGACTGAATAGCTAATGTAGTATTAGTTCCTAAGAAGAACAATATAATTCACATGTATGTAGATTATAAGGACCTGAATAAGGCGTGCCCGAAAGACTCGTTCCCACTGCCAAACATCGATCAAATGATTGATGCGACGGCCGAGCACGAGTTAATGAGTTTCATTGATGCTTATTCCTGGTACAACCAAATTAAGATGAACCGGAGGATCAGGAAAAGACTTCATTTATAATGAATTTTGGCACATATTGCTCTAATGTGATGCCCTTCGAGTTGAAGAACGTCGGAGCCACTTATCAACGGCTCGTAAACAAGATGTTTGAAAAATAAATAGGGAAAACTATGGAAGTTTATATAGATGATATGTTCATTAAGTCTTTGAATGTAGGTGACCACCTTAAGCATCTGCAAGAAACTTTTGACATCCTAAGGAAGCATAACATGAAGCCTAACCCCGAGAAGTGCGCGTCCGGGGTCAGCTCCGGCAAGTTCTTGGGATTTCTGGTATCGCAAAGGGGGATTGAGGTAAACCCCGATAAGATCAAGGCCATCAAAGATAGGGGTGTTCAAAATCGAACCGAAACCAAAAATCGAACCGAAACTGAAGCTTAATGGCTTATTGGTATCGGGTTAACGGTTTAACGGATGGTATCGGGTTAACGGTTTAACAGACGGGGAACGGATTGAAATTTTTTCATTAACGGCTTATCGATTTAGGGGCGGATTATTCAATTTTCTTAACGGATAATTCGTTAACCCGTTAAGAATATATATATATATATATATATATATATATATATATATATATAAAATCATTTTTGTCCATATATATATTAAATATCAAAAACCCTTCCACTTCAATCTTCCACTCTTCCAGTACTCTATCTCTAAGTTCTAACGCCTAATTCCTAAATAATCAGAATTATGAAAAAATATGTAACATAATCCTTGTTAATTACTTTAGAAAAGGCAGAAAGTTCAGAATCAAATTCAAGCATACAAATGGTTTGGAATACTCATACAGAGGAAGTAGTATTACATTATAAACAAGTCTTTCTCAGGCATAATGCATAAAGGATGCAACAACACTGAACTGGACAAGATAAGTTAGCCAATGCATCAATTTTACGATATAGGTGAGGGCGCAGAGATGTCTTTTTCAGGCATTGATGAGTGGTGATTTTACCACTCAATCTAGTCTCTTTTCCTTAGCTTTTATGCCCTTTAACTATAATATGAGGTTGTTTATGGTGTGTATTGTTAGATTTTCAGGTAAATGATGCTACGAAGTGATTTGAATTGAATTGAAGTGGAATTGAGCAAAAGAGAGTGAAAGCATGCAAAATCTTCCAGTGATTCCGCTTCTGCGGAAGACTTGTCGCAGAAGCGATCCCGCTTCTGCGTGGAAACAACCGCTTCTGCGGTAAAGGCTTGTATTGGAATATTCCGCTTCTGCGGAGGAGAAGACGCAGAAGCGATCCCGCTTTTGCGAGTGAATACACGCTTCTGAGGAAATGGCCGAGTATGGAAGAAATCGCATCTGCGGTTATAATTTCGCTTATGCGAAGTCGCTTCTGCGACTTTTGCACCGCAGCTGCGAAACAGTGTTGTACAAAGGTATTTCGCTTCTGCATTAAGTAATCCGCATCTGCGGAACTGCATCTGCGTGAATTGTTCCGCAGATGCGAAAGTCGGGCATCAGATTTGGCAAATTAGTCATTTCACATTTTCTAAATCCCAAACCATTTTTATACTCATCCAAGCAGACTTTTGAGAGATCTTTGGCATATCTTTGGCTTATTTTCAGTTCTTAGGGCTAGAGAGAACAAGTATTGAAGCTAGGGTTTCGCACACACACTTGGGTCTTGAAGATTTCAAACTTGTGGTTAAGGATTTCTTACCCATCTATGTTTATTTCTTCATTTCCTTGCTTTGTATTGAATATTTAAGTGTGTAGTATTATTTCCAACACTTGAATCTTGTTTATGGAAATACTCATGTTTAAAGTGTGGATTAAATACCTTGTTGTGCTTATGTATTGAATGATTTTTATCCATTTATGAAGTGAGTTATTGTTTCTTTAATTATTCTTGTTCTTTAATGTTTCCAAAGGGATTAGCTAACCCTAGGACTCGCCCATTAACTCCGAATTAATTTTGAAAAAGATAATTTGGGGTTGGGAATGATTAATTAACAAGAACTTGAGGCGTTAACCCTCATTTTATAGATTCTACCTAGGGATAGGATTGAACTACTTGTAGCCATTCCGGGTGTGCTTAATCTTCTAATTGTTTTAGGGATAATTCAATTAGGAAGTCTTGTTAGTCTTCGGAAGAAGCTAATTAAGAATTATTATCCGTGACTAATTAACATAAACTCGCTCATATTTGTAAAATCGTGAAATACATTGGATAGTTACTTGAGTGTAATTCCCGATGCATTCATACTTGTAGCCATTGATCATTTTACTTGCTTTCTAGGTTGGTTTACATTTCCGCATTTAGATATAAAACACTTTCAAAATAAATTCTTATTGTTTGGCATTGCGCGATAAATGATAATTTTCTTACATTCCTAATCGCCTACACATTGTTCTCTGTGGGATTCGACCCCGACTCATAGTTGGGTAAATTATATTGCATGCGACCGTGTCCATTTACTTTTTAGTAGTGGATTTGGACGTCATCAAAATTGGTGCCGTTGCCGGGGAACAATTTGGCGTAATTTAGGTTGTTTGAGAAATAAGCGAAAGTGCTTTGATCCAAACTTGTGAACATTTGTGTAATTATTTTTCTTGTTTGTTTCTTGTTTATTTTCTTACTTTTTTTTGAGAAAAAAAATGGCATCATATAATGAAAATTGGTCGGATGGTAGTTGTTCATACTTTGATGACCCTTGTCCTTATTGTGGAGGACCACATTCGTGGCAAAATTTTTGAATTCTCCCGGGGGTGGATTGTGCGCACAATCTCAACCCTATGAGTGGAGTATTTGTGATAAGTGTGGTTTTCAAAATGGTCATTGGGATGATTGTGCTTATTTGTCATTCCCTTCCCCAAGCACCCACTATGATGATTCTACTTTTTGTGATGAGAATTATAGGGCTGGAAGTGGAAGAAGTTGAGCATGGCCAAAGTGGAGAGTTCAAGCTTATGTTGGAGTGTTTACTTGGAGAAGGAAACAAGGAGCAAAATGCCTTGGAGGAGCTTTTGGAGAATAGTCTTCAAAATGACTTGGCACTTGAAAGGTTGCACTCACAAATGGATGAAATGATCGAAGCCTTAAGGGTTCAAAAAGCCTCGGAAGTGAATGATAGCCAAAAACCTTCCTTGGAGATTGAAATTAAAAATCCTTGCTTGGCACTTGATCAAAACCAAGAAGAACTCTCAATCTCAAATGCTCAAAATGAGAAAATGATGCTCATGTTGGAGACCATTCTTGAAAATGAGGAGAAGCAAAACATTGCACTCGAGGACTTGAAACAAAGCTTGAATTACAATGATGAACATATCCGCAAGTTGGAGGATCAAATGCAAATATTGGTTGAGGCTCACTATGCCCACCAACTTGAGAGTGTGGAAGGAAGCCAAGAAGAGTCCAATTCCGAGGAAGAAAGTGAGCTTTACTTCGAGGAATCAAGAATTGAACATCCGCCAACCGACTCCATAATTGTTAGAGATGCCAAGAAAAATGTGAAATTAGAGTCGACCGGTATAAATGAAAATGTGGTTGATATTGACTCTAATCCGGGGGGAAAAGAGGATGTCAAAATAGAAAAATTGCAAAGTGAAGGCTTGAAGTCACATTCCAAGCATTTTTCAACATTGAAATTGTGTGGTGATATGGAAGTTGAACTACACGAATCAATGGAGGATTGCGAGGAGGAAAAACTCATACCATACATTTTACAGTTTGAGGAAACAAGAAAACAAAATGACATTCCTCACATGAGAGCCAAGAAGTGCAAAATGAAGAATTTAAGGATTGGCTTGATCATCGACTTACCACCCCCCCATCGCTCGTGGTCACAAGCTTGATTCCAAGCTAGGTTCCCAGTTCATATCATCCAAGTGGCGAGAAAAGTGGTAAAGTTGTTTGCGTCGTGCCACGATGTTAAATGCGGCGCTTGGTGGGAGGCAACCCATCGTTTTACAAAAATTTTAGTCATTTTTGAAATTTTCTTTTTTAGAATAGCTCAGTATATTATTTTTGACTAATCTGCCAAGTTTTAGATTTTTTGGAGTTGATTTGAGCAGGTCGGAGTGGTCCGGAGGGTCAAAACCAGTAGCTGCAGAATCTGTGCAAAAGTGTCTTCCCGGGCCCGTTCAA